ATATATACACAGTATATCAGTCATGGGCAAAAATATTGGCACCCCTGCATTTCTGTCAGATAATGCATTTCTTCCTGCAGAAAATGGATGCAATTACAAATGTTTAGGCATTCTCATGTTTATTTCTTTTGTTTGTATTGGTATGACACAAAAAAGTGGAGGAAAAAAAAAAGACTAATCTGACACATTCCACGCAAAGCTCCAAAAATGGACTGGACAAAATTATTGGCACCTTCTCCAAATTGCAAGAAATAATTAAATAATTGCATTCCAAGTTTCTGATGCTCCTGTAATTTGTAATTAAGCTCACCTGTATCAATTCTAGTCTATCTAGTCTGTCTACACACAGACTATCGCATATCCCTAGCATGTGCACATTTGCTGTTCCCTCATAGCACCATGGTCTCCTCTGGGAAGCCCCTAGTTAGCTCGCCCACAAAAGGACTTGTGCACAGCACCCAATCAAAGCGGACAGGCTACCATCCAAGCTGTTGCGACAGCAATGGAAGTTTTATCCCACCAAAGTGCCTAAAAGCCTTTGGACTCCAGGACTCAAGTCAGAATGTACGAAGCTCTATGAAAACAAAAAGGTTGTTCTCTCCATAAGAGACACAAACCCTGGATCCTCTCACCCTGTGTAGGTGAAAAACCTTGGTCATACAAATACCATCCACAACTCTGCCAGCCAATCTCGCATCTCTCACAAACTACCTCTTTTCACAGTGACAGAGCACTAGCCTACCACTAAACTTCATAAGGTTAAATAAAATTGACACATGTCTGTTATAGTTTCCCTTTAATTTTTCCACCTAGACTAAGGCCTTTGGGGACAAAAATTATGACCTGGTGGAGAAAGGCTAAATAGGGCCCTGGCAGGGTAGCATCTTTGGCCCAATCATCCCCTTAACTGACATTGATAAGCATTTTATTAGGTATAGAAAAGCTTTCCATTTGCATTGTCTGTACTGCTACATCTTGCCCTATGAGACACCACCTGCCTACAATGAAGTGACATACAGGGGAAATGGAAGGTTGTAGATGGTCCCCTGGACATTTACCAGGCCATTGGCTTCATCTGGTGAATGATAAAGCTATGCCTTATAGCTCACAAAGGGCCACCCATATGACCTGTCTGTGTTGTTCACTTTGCATTTGTGAGTGTGTTTTCCCAATATATAGGGGTCTATTCACGAAGCAGCCGAAGGATCTAGCCATAGCTTTGGCTGATCCTTCGGCTAGCATGAGCATGTTCGGCCGAACCGAAGCCACGCGAAGCCAGCCGATATACAGCTGAAATCAGCCATACCAGCCTGAAGTGAATAGCCGAACAGCGTTCGGCTCACTTCGCATCAGCTCGGTCATTCACTCGGCTGCCTCCCGCAGCTTAGTGAATAGACCCCATAGATTTACTCCGGCAGCCATGTAGTGGTTAAATAAGCATGTATTAACATGGAATATATTATTTTATCCATCATGACAATATATGGTCATGTAGAAGTGACAACTAGTATAAAAGTAGGAAGACATCTATTGTAATTTAGTGCTGAGGAACAGTGCCATGAACTGTATATTTCCAAGGAGTATAAAGTAAGGTTCAGTGGCCCTACAGGGAGCCCTCTGGGTCTCTGTTCATCATGTAGTTAATAGACCATACAGTGCAAAGAAAACATGGGCTCACAGGAGCACTCTTGTACTATTACCACTACTATTGTGGGTGAAATCCTATTAAAAAGGAGTGAGAAAGTCCTAAACAACAAAAGAACAATATAATATATAGTAATGTTTTACCTTGTGTATTTGTTTGTGTAAAGAATATAAAAAAGTTTGCATGAGTCTTGTTAAAAAAATAATTTAAGTACCTCTAGGCTTCTCCCATGGTGCCTGCACAGTCTGACCTATCACATAAGTTCCAGAACTATAAGGGGAGCGCTGGCAGCTGGCAGAACCACAGGCAGAGGGATAAACAATGAGGCAGGACAAGTAAAAATGGTGGACTCAGACAGACCGCTCACTCCTCCTGATTCTGACATTGCCTCCTCTGCCCTTTCAAAAGCCCCCTATAGTGACCATGTGGGCTAATATGATTGTAGTTCTGCTACTGGCTGTAGGATATGGTTGATTTATGTTCCCCAGATCTAATCCTAAATACCTTGCTGCACAATTATTGCATTATCTAAATTCAAAATAAACTGATCATTTGTTTTGTAATAAGCAGAATTAATATGTTTATTTCATAAATCCACATTACCTGGCACCTGGAGGATCTGGGATTCAATATGACCCTTTTCAGTGCAGATAAAAGCAGGTGCATCTCATGCCTTCTTAAAGGAAAGCTGAACTGAGGAAATATAGAGGCTGCAATTACTAACATTTCCTTCTGATAATGTCCGTTGCCTGGCTCTCATGCTAATCCAGTGTCCTTAGTGCTTTCCGAATGGTTGACCACAACAAGCATGCAGATCATGGGTTCATTCTCATTTTATATTGCTTGCTGGCAACCAGGTAGCTAGCATTTTTGGTAAAAAAAAATCTCAATTAGTGTAACAATTATTATTTTTTAGCTATGTTATCATTATTCTCTTAACTTACAGTGTGCGTTAATTCTACAACAGAACACGTTCTATTCTGCCTGTTGAAAAGAGCCCCTTAGATGTGATAAAACTAAATAATTGGCTGCTTTGGTGGTTTGGGCATTTTCTATCTATGAATTGACTAACAAAACACACTTGCAGAAAAAGCAAGTAAATTGTTCAGCACTATGTCAGAACAAGAGAATTAATTAACGATTACATTTGAAATATTATACAGTGGGACTATTTGTCAAAAGGCATAAAGTTGTGCTTGCAGCTGAGATTCATGATCTTTAAAGAGGATATTGAATTTGCATTTTGTTTCCTTGAACTACAGGATATTGAAGTTGTTGGCATTCCATGCTTTGAATAACAATAGACACATAAAATTTTTCCAATGAATTTTTATTGACCCCTTTATTTATTAACGTAGTAACCCTTAGCATCCAATCAACTGTTGGTGCAAATGCATGGAATGCTGAAGCTTTAGTTTCATATTATATCGCAAAAAGGATATACAATATGATGAATAAATAAATTCTAGATCAGCTGGTTTTGCGGACTATAAAACATGGCCTATTGTTTGAAAAATTTTTGCACCTGTATATCATAAATTATTATTGTGCCTTAT